AATTTTAAACAAAAATTTTTTATGATATTTATATGAATCATGGGAACTGAAGATAAATAAAAGTTATATATAAATGATTACTTTTTTGAAATATATGATTGATATTATAACGATCATAATTAAAAAATTGTTCCAACTCTACTTTAAAATAAGTGCATTCTAACGCTTTGACAATTCCTTAAACTTTTGCATTTTTACATGTTAAGATATCCTAATGCAACATAATTTTTTTTTCCTACTACATAAAGAAAAATTGTGTCAAAATATTTTGATAAAAATTTATATCATGATGTATTTCAAAAAATTTTAACTTTCATATAAATATAATATATATAAATAAATAATTAATTTAATATTTCATTTTTTAATTAAAATTTTAATCAGAATTTTTTTTCCTTATAATAGGCATCTCATCTTGATGTATTACTTTGAGAATTTTGGCTATCAATTACGAGTTCTTTGATTTGAATCTTACATATAATATATATGTGAAATTATCTTAATTAATCTAAATATCTCAAAAATATATTTTCCTTGTAATAACTTATGCCTTTGAAAGTTGAAACCCTTACGCTAAAGAGGAATTTGATGCCGCCGGACACAAAGCGGAAGGAATCGGAAGAGTTTGCGTGTGAGGGAAGATATAAATAATATTCACATCAAACAATTGAAGTTTCTCATACACTCGAGAAGGCTAGATTGCAAGTCAGTTTTTACTGCAGCAAAGAACTGACTGACTTCTTTGATTGCTTTGCCTTTTGCTTTAAGAAACATTTTCTGATAAGTCCGAATAAGAACAAAAACAAGGGGTAGATTCATATGATGATTCCAGATGGAGGATTGTTTTGGCAGTCCGAGAAGGTGAAAAAAAACATCTAGAAGCAGAGAGAATAAATGCTCGTGAAAGAACTCGTAGACTTGTAGTTCATTAATTGAAGGGCTGTTTGAATGAAATATAGGAGTTTAAAATTTTTTGGTGTTTTATTGGAATACAAAGTGGAATAAAATAATTTAAATGTATTATAAGTCATTTTAGTTCAGTTTTGAAGTAAATCAAATTCGCTCAATTTTAAGTGAGAATTGTTTAGACCATAACTAAGCCCGCTTGACTGCCACCCACCAACATCACGATCTCCCCCACCGACCGCTGTCATTTTTAGACTTTATACTACATTCCTTATTTCAAACCAAATTAAAAAATAATAATAATCATTCATTTGCATTTACTTTACATTCATCAAAACAACTTCAAATATTTCTTTTACAATGCATTTCTTTTACTGTACATTCTTTTTACACTGCACTGTACATTCTTTTTACACTGCATTATTTTTATACCACAACCAAACATCCTCTAAAAATATTGTTGTACAATTGTATTTTTAAAATTATGTTTTTGAATTACATATTTTATAATTTATGTCTTATCATTATGCAAAAAAAAAATAAAAAATCTTCAAAATATTCAAAGTTACTAATTTTATCTTATTAATATGATTCTTCTAAGCTTATGTGTTTTTTATAAGGATATAGGCAAAAAATGATTTTGCTCTTCTAAGCTCCTAATCAATTTTTTACTACCAGTGATAAAAACTTTCCAATATTAAATTATGATCTACAAAAATAGTAAGAAATACTTTGAGTCATAAGAGCCATTGATAATATGGTGGATCCCATCAAAAGGTGGGGAATAAGGGTGTAAGTAAGTCAACCGTCACAAATTCTGCTCATTAACAAACTCGAGCCAAGCTTATCAAGTCACAAGCTTGAATTCAAGCTCGGATTAGGGCTTGTATATAATATGAGCTTGATTTTGAACTCGACAATACTCAGTATTTTCTTCAAACATTGACACTTTAATTCAAGCCATCTCCAATGAAATAACTGCCACAATCTCCAATGAACAACTGCCACAACTTCACCCTCTGCTATCATATATGCCTTTCTCTAACCAGTAGGTCCCATAAGTTTGCATTGTGGCTTCCTCGTTTATCCTAGGTCTAGCACTGCTATCACTTTTCCCCTTGCATTTTTTGCGATTTTGGCTTGAGCTCATGAATCGAGCTTGAACCCTATAAGTTTAATAATAAAAAACCTATCGTAGGGACTGCCTTGAGCATGTGTCATGCTCTGATAGGTGATACTTTTTTATTCAACTCCTCAGCTTAGAGATGAGTCCCCTTGTGTTAAGTATTCACATGGAAGTAGACAAATGTGAGTATAACAATGGGGTTAAATTGAAATGATTTTTGTTGACGAGTCTTTTAGTGGCACTGACGTTATATTGGATAGAATCCCTTGACTATTTGGATGTGGGGGTGAGCCTTCTTAAATAATAAGGGTAGCAGACTCCATAGCCAATTGAGTTTGGTGAGGCGAGCTTGAATCTTCTCAGGAGGATCCTTCCTTGAAGCTAGAATGATGAATTTTATTGATGACCCACCACTTGAAGTTACGACGAGTACCTTTGAGGGTGTACTTCTAGCTGGAAGGATGAGTTCTAATCTTAGTGGATTATGTGAACCCTTGGCATTTTCTTGAGAGGCGACTCCTATTTGGTTGCTTTGCTAAGTTGGTGTTAGTGACCTCTAGGTGAGTCATCATTGTCAAGATCCACAAGGTGTGAGTTCACCTGCTATAATCTATCAACTACTTGTTCAACACATGAAAGATATACATGAGTGTACATTTTTTATTCAAATTTACTTGTAGGCAACACCTAACCCTAATAATAGGTTTAGCTAGCTAGAGTGAGAAAACATAATGAGGGAATCACAAACTGTGGATAATCGAAGGATTATATGATCTCTACGAAAAGTAAAAATAGCATAAAGTCCTAATTATACCTATTGTCAAGATCCACAAGGTGTGAGTTCACCACCATTGCCAGCAGTCGCTAACCACCACCACAGCATCCCGCCACCACTATGGCCTGCCACCATCCACCACCACCGGTCGTCGTCGGCCACTTACCACTACCCTCTTTGTACTTTATATTGCATTCATTTTATTTCTAAACAAATAAAAATAACAATCTTATGCATTCCTTTTACACTCATCTAAATAACTCAAAAAATATTCCGCTCATGTTATATTTCTTTTACATTACATTATTTTTTTTAGTCAACTAAATAGCCTCTTAATGCACAAGCCATTGAAGAGAATCCTAAACCGTGCTGCTGTGGTGAATAGTCGTTGACCTGAATTCATAGCAAATGAGGCCCACATAAACGAGATTTTTTTTCTTCACTCCTTTCAATTATTTAGAATGTGCTGTCTGTTAGCGTATTGTGCAGACACATCATTCTTTAAAATGAAAAATAATAAATAAAAAAAAAACCACCGTAGTACCTTCGCAGACAACGATGGAAAAATCAAATTAATAATAGCAAATTTAGGACATTGACAGGATTATTGTAATCATCTTAAATACAGTTTCTTCCAATTATGCCGTCCCCACCAAAATTGTTTGATTAAACGAAATATCTTTGAAGAACCCTTCCTAAAAATTCTGTGACTGAGATTATGAAAGGATAAGACGAAATTACAATATCTATTTCTTGTTTCGGTTTCCGTCCTTATTCACAAATAGGAAATTAGATCGATATAGACCTTAATATTCCGGAATCCTAAACTCGTAGATCTAGTCTAATATATGAGATCGCAAATGATGAATCAGTCAAATTCACAAACAAGGTTAGTAACTTAGTAGGAGTATTTCTCCAGACATAAACTGCTCGCATCAGAGATCCCAAAGTATTGAAGAAGAGGGAAGAAGAAGAAGAATAAGAAGAAAATGGAGGAGAAAGCGAAACAAATCAATTGGAGATAGTTAAGAAAAGATGCGATAGTACCTCCTGCTATCTCGATCGAATCCCTCTGTGGCTCCTCAATGCTAAAGCTCCTCGCTCGGCCAGGAAAACCGATCGCTACACTGGAAAATCGAACTAGTGATTACCAATTGCTCGACGAAATGTTCCGGAGCATTCTAGAGGTAAATTTATGAGGCGTGGGAACCAACCCTTTACGCTTTCTCCCCGTGAGCTCACGAGCAAATTGGAAAAGCGGGACGAGCAAATTGGAGCAAGAACGAGTGGACAGAGAGAAGACGCAGATTGCGCCGTCACTTCGATTTAAAAGGCTGTCCGCCTGCTCTATCCAATTACATAAATGCCCTCAAATTTAAATGATATGTAAGGGCTATTTGGTAGTTAGTAGGATTAACTTTAATAAAATTAAATAAATCTTGTAAATCCGAATCTATCAAATTCTGAAAATTATTTGGTATGATATATGCTAAATTAGTAAATTCTGATAAATTCTTAAAAACTATTTGATAACTAATTCAGAATTTAATGTAATTAGTTTATTTAAAAATTTAATTTAATTTGATTTGAATTTAATAAATTATAATGATAAATAATATAATTAAAAATTAGGTTGATTAGTACTAATTATAAAATTAATTATTTAGGTGTTAATTTTAAATCACTCTTCATATTACAATTATGTAATTATATTCTTAAATTCTAATTAATTAGTTAATTATTTTTAGAAAATATAAATTATTTCACTAATACTCATACTAATGATTAAATTAATTACAACCTTTACAACAACCTCTCTTCCACCAACCCCAGTGCAGCAGAGTGCCATCATCCTTTCTTACCCTATTGGTGACGGTAGTACCAACGTCCTTTCTCATCCTCATAGTGACGATAGAGTACCGGCATCCTGTCTCACCCTCATGATGATGGCAAAGTACCAGATCTTCTCCAAAGATTTTCTCTTAAGAGTCTTCAAAGAAGTATGGCACAGATTTGAAGAACATACAAAGAGATCCTCAGCTTTGGGCAACTTTGTGAACCATTCACAATTTCTACTTGCAAGATCTCTCAATTCTCACTCCCAAATACTCTCCTAAGCACTCTTACTATCACTCCCAAGATAAAATTCACAGAAGAGTATTGGATAGTCAGTTTTAGAACTCTTATATATGAAGGACAAGAAAACCCATCCAAAAAAATAAAATTTTCAAGTTGAACGTACTTGGATCGTACAGCACGATCGTACTTCGTATATACGAATAGTTAAAAAAATCCTTGTACGATTATGTATGAACTGATTTCGTACTCTTTCAGTTATATGTAAGAAATGACATCGTACTGTGCAAATATTTAAAAATTGAACAGAATCATCTAGTATGATTTTGTATGAACCCATTTCGTACACTGGTCGTCGTCTATACGAACCCTACATCGTACGGTACAAACTTGTTAACTCAAATTATGTTTCATATGGTACGAACATTGATGAACTCATTTCGTACTTTGTACGTCGTCTGTATGAAATTTATTTCGTACAGTACGACCATTTTGTGCTCTATAAGTCGTATGTATGAACTCCACTTCGTACAGTACGATCATTACAAAAATTGGTAAGTTCGTTTGGGATGAACTTTTATGTATCCATTTCATACTTTGGACGTCATCTGTATGAATCCAACTTCGTACAGTATGAACAGTTCAAAAGAAAATTTCCAAGGCATCATTCGATTAACTTCATTTAGGAGGATCTTTCAAGTCAAATCGTTTAGTACTATTCAAAAATGGTATAGTATGATCATTTTTTAAATATAAAAATTTTGACTCACTCCCCTAGTGTGTGTATGCACGGTTATCATATTACAATCACACTCTCTTAGACTAAAAAAATAAAAAAAATATAGACTTCAATAACAAGAAATCTAATATAATTTATCTTGAAATCTTCAGCAGTATGTAGTAGATTTTCTTGAAACATCAGTACACACAAATAATACAAATAAAATTTTTCCAATATGTGTTAGAAGAAATAATAATAAATATAATAATATTTTGGTATCATAAAAAATCACACGTTATAAAAACATAATTTTCAAAACTAAGTTGCAACAATAGTTATATTATTTATTGAATGCCAATAAAATTTACAAAAATAAGTATTTAATAAATTAATTAATAATTGATGAGGCCACTTTTGATTTTTTTTTCTTCTAATAAGATATTATTCAATATATATAAAAGCACCTAAGTGACTGTGTTTTGATTATATTTTCCATGAATAACATCAATTGCATTTGAACTTTTTGATTTGAATGGTAATGATAAGTGATACATCATCAAAAAATTATCTTGATCGGGTATGAATCTCAAGGCAAAATCAAATTGAAAACTTTCAAAATTAAAATTGGGACCATATGAATTCCGATTTCAACAAACTTATAGTCGAACTTAACGTCTCGAAAATAAGAACCCAACGATACCAAATTCGACTCAATCCGATCCCATATGGGTCCAAATCAAGGACCCGAAGCATTGTTGGAAGGTCCCAATTTAGATTGCCAAATGGTTTCCAAATGTGACATTCTTATAGTCAAATCGAGCGGCTCAACAAGATGAATCCATTGAGTCCAAGATCGTGGAATTCAAACATCATTAAGACCTTCTAATGTCTAATGAATGGGTCAAGATCAAGGGATTCAACATCGGCCGTCCATTCAAACCACTCCCCATTTACCCTTTATCTTCCTCCTATTTATAAGCCATGACACTCTAGGAAATCTATAAATAGACCCCTCTTTTCTCTTGAAAAGGGACCCTTAAGCCTAAGGAGAAAAGAGAGAGATCAGAGATCACTTTTGCCTTCTTGCCTCTTCGACCACTATCGAAGCTTCGCCAGACCTCTTCCTAAGGCCTTGAGCTTCGCCGGACCACTACCTGAGGCCTTGAGCTTCGCCAGACCACCGCATAAGGCCCTAAGCTCCGTCGAGACACCATGTTAGGCCCTGAGTTCTGCCGGACCACAACCTGAGGCTTGGACTTCTGCCGGGCCACCACCTGAGGCCTGAAGTTCCACCGGACCACCATTTTATACCCAGAGCTCCGCCGAACTGCCATTGGAGGCCCTAAGATCCGCCGGACCACTACCTAAGACTCTAAGCTCTGTCATACCACCATTTGAGGCCCAAAATTCCTCCCTACCACCACTTGAGGCCTAAAGCCCGACAGGATAATCACCTGTCACCCGGAGTTTTGTCGGACCACCATCTGACGCCAAACTTCTGCCAGACCACCATTTGACGTCAGACTTTCATCGGACCACAGCCGAACACTAAAGTTTTTCCAAAACACCACCAGGCTACCAACTGATGCCCAAAAATTCAAGTAGCGAAGGACTTATTTCAGTCCACTATGTGATACTGGACTTTCATTCCCATTTTTCACTAGATTTCATCCATATGGTTAACATTTATAATATGATCTCCCTCAAGGATAAGTCAGCCAATTGTAATCTACTCAAATTCTAGTGGAATCATTTTCAACTGAGCCAGACCCCATGGTTTTTCCCCTTTCCAGGGTTTTCCACATAAAAAATCTTGTGTTCTATGTGTGTGAGATGTATATCAGTACAACACTACGACGTAGGATTTTAACTCTATCGCCGCGTATACTCTAGCCCGCAACAGTAAGTTAATTTTTTTTCCTTCTATCACGGAATTTAGGATTTCTTTTAAAGTAAACACATCAAATTTTCAAATTATATTAAATCATATTTATATTCTTTTTCGATATTTTGTGGCATATATTAATCACAAAAATAACATAAAAGTAAAATAAATACAAGGATATATGCTCTAGGAGTAGCAAGTTATTTTGGTAGAATTTTCTTTAAAAAGGGCTATTTTCATCGAAAATATTATTTTTTGACGAATTTTTGACAAACATTTATACTTCTTTAAAATAGTCGTGGTAAATAATTTCCAGCGCAATGAAAATTGTTGGAATTTATTTCTAGCAGAAAAAGCGAGATCACCGATGGCTCGCTATACGTCCCAAAAAAAATCACCGAAAATAATATCGTTAGAAAAATAGCAACAAAAAAAGCCACCGATAACTTACAATGTTACTGGGGCGACATCCACCAATCACAATGTTATTGGGGCAACGTACCATCGATAAAACACTAATATTATTGGGGACATATGCTGTCGATACGCCGCTGGAAAAATTCCTTTAATTTTGGTATCATTCTCCTAAAAAAATTGTTGGATTTAATGATTGATCAATTTTTGTTGGAAATGACATCAAAAAATGAGTTTTTTCCACTAGTAATATTTTTTGGCCATTAAACTCACATAAAATTTAATCATTTTCTTAGAAGAAATTATCTCACTTATGATTTTTCGAACCTTTTAATTATTATTTTAGCATAAATTTTATAATGAAATTAATCAAATTTTTATCCATTATGCACCTAAAAGATGAAATTGAGAAGACAAAGAAGAGTTTCAAATATAAATTGGTTGTTTTTGGGAGAGGAAGATACCTTTATAAAACCTCCAAAAAGCAATCATATAAAGTTCTCATGAATGAAATATATGATGCTATTAATATACATAAATAATACAACTTTTCTGGAAACAATTGAAGTTAAAAAGGTGCAACTTATCATGAAAATTATAGAATAATAATTTTTTTTTATCGGAATGATTGCATTGTTGAAGAGTTACAGTTATTATTGAAAATTAAAAATGATTATATTCAGTCATGAAAATTATGAAGAGTCATATTCATTTATTATAATTATTGAAAGCCACATTCTTCTATTATTTTGAACAGATTTTTTACATTAGTTTTTAAAATTTTTATCCAAATAAAATAAAATAAAATAATTAAGACATCTTGATATTTTTCATTAAAAAAGTATTTTGATCAGCACGAATCTCGATGCAAACAGGAATAAAAATCTTTAAAAGTTAAATATGATACCATCCAAACTCCGATTTTAGCAAACTTATAAACAAACTGAATATCTTGAAGAGATAAACCCAATGACTCAAAAATTGGTCCAATCTGAACTCAAATGGGTCCAAATCGAGGGTCCAAAGCCTATTTGAAAGCTTCAGAACATTAATTGGATGACCAAATGATTTCCAAATGTAACATACTTATAGTCGAATCGAGCGACTCGATCAGACAGATCGAATGAGCCCAAGATTGTCAAATTTTGGCATCATTAAGACATTCAAATTTGATAAATGATGTATGATAGAGGGAGTTTATATC